TTTAAAGAAAATACATCTGTAAATGGAGTTAAAAGTCATGGCCTTTGTCCTATAGTATTTTTTTTTTTGAATTTTTTAAATTAAAAATTTAATGATTATTTATATATTTATTTATCTTATTTTTTAAAAAAAATTAAAAGAGAAACCTTTTATGATAAGATAATTAATCAAAATAATGAACAATGATAGGATTAAACCAGGAAAAAATATGTCTAACTTAAAAAATTAAATAGCAAAAATTAATTTGAGACAAATTCAAAGTAAAAACAACAATTATTTTGAGACAAAGGCAAACTTAATTGATGGAAAGGAAAAAAAAATTATAATTTGTAGAGTTGATGGAACTAAAAAAGTGCTAAAATAGTTTAGAAACCCAAAGTATTCAAAAGTTAAAGTTTAGGGACTTGAATTTAGCATCTAACCCAAAATATATATATATATATATATATATTTGCTTTATTTCTTAAAAATAAAAAATCAGAATGAAAACATAGCATAAAAAAAATAAAAAGCTAATTGAGTGTATGTTACTACTTACCAAATGAAAATAGAGCCCTTGTTGCTCTTCTCAATTGATTCATGCATGACTGCAATGAAAGAATTATATTCATTATTAAAAATGAAGGTTTGCAGCTACAATAATTAATCAATTTTCTATAATCTTTAGCCAAAAAGATTGGCTTTAACTCACCATATACATAGGAACCAAAATAGAATTTAACCCAAATTATAAAACGAAGCAAGAATAAATCATTTGTATACTTTCTATGTTGACTACAAAAGAACATATATTTGATTTATTATTTCTACAAATAAGAATCAAGATATACAGCACAACAAATTCCATTTTCCATATTTTATATTTGCAGTGAATGAATAAAGATTCAGAATAAGTAATTAATAAGTTTCATATATAAATTTTTTTTGTCGCCCTTCAAATTAAGAGTTATTTGGACCAAATAAGTTTCATAGATAGCAATAAGCACTTGCGGTACTAGTTGCCCTGGCAATGTGCATCATATAGACCTTGGAAAGCTTAGAATCCCCACTTTATATGAACAATTCCCACGTCCCTAATTTCCAATTGCTTTTATCTTATAACATATGAAAAAAGAAGATTCTTACCAAATTACAAACAAAAGCAAGAAAAGCAATAGCAACTTTGGGCTAGTCATCTACCCAACAAATTCTACAAAGTCGTTAAGAAAATTCCAAATACTAGAGGAAGATATACCTCTGAAGTGTACGACATCGCACGGGGCGGGGGCCGGGGGGGTTCGTCAGACCGGGCCT